AAAAAAAAATTCTTCTGAGTGGTTACCCCTGTTTCTTGCATGTACACTGAAGTGCAGTTGATCTCTGTGTACTGGCCTTATACTTGGTAGAGGGGATCAGGCATCCTTGACTGGTCCCGACCAAGAGGGAAAAATTTTCTTTTTTTTGAGACGAAGTCTCTCTCTAGTCCCCCAGGCTGGAGTGCAATGGTGCGATCTCGGCTCACTGCAGCCTCCGCCTCCCGGATTCAAGCGATTGTATCACTTGAGGTCAGGAGCTGAAGACCAGCCTGGTAACTGGGCGCGGTGGCTCACGCCTGTAATCCCAGCACTTTGGGAGGCTGAGGCTGATGGATCACGAGGTCAGGAGATGGAGACCATCCTGGCTAACACCTTGAAACCCCGTCTCTACTAAAAGTACAAAAAACTAGCCGGGGGTGGTGGTGGGTGTCTGTAGTCCCAGCTACTTGGGAGGCTGAGGCAGGAGAATGGCGTGAACCCAGGAGGTGGAGCTTGTAGTGATCCGAGATCGCGCCACTGCACTCCAGCCTGGGCGACAGAGCAAGACGCCATCTCAAAAAAAAGAAGAAAGACCAGCCTGGCCATGGTAAACACCCTATCTGTACTAAAAATACAAGAATTAGCCGGACGTGGTGGTGCGTGCCTGTGATCCTAGCTACTGAAGAGACTGAGACTGAGACAGGAGAATCGCTTGAACCTGGAAGGCGGAAGTTGCAGTGAGCCGAGATTGCGCCATTGCACTGCAGCCTGGGCCACAGAGTGAGACTCTGTCTCAAAAAAAAAAATTCCTCCTATTTTTGCTTTACTAAGAGTTTTTATCATGAATGCTTTTATCAGATGCTTTTTTGTGTCCATTAAAGTGACACGATTTTTCTCCTTAATTTTGACACATGGTAAGTTTAGTGATGGCTGTTCTTGTCGAAAACTAGTTTTGTGTTCCTGGAATAACTCAACCCAGTTTTGTTATAATACTCCTGCTTGTCACTGGGCTCATCTGCAAGTGTTTTGAGGAGGTTGGTGTCACTTCCTGTCCCATCTGTCTGTGGGCTGTTGGGGTGGCCAGAGCCGCCTGCGGTGCCATCAGTCCCACACCAGTGAGTGAGTTTTTTTTTTTTTTTTTTTAAAGTTTGTTATTACTTCTGAAACCTTTGGTAGAATTTACAGGTGAAGCCCTGGAGTTGCCCTTGTCGCTGAGAGATGGGTGTTGGTTTGTGGATGCCTCTTCTGTATCTGTTAACCAGCTTCCAGGATGCCCTCCCCATAGCACAAGTCCATCATGAAAAATGACCTCGAGGTGGCTCACACCTGTAATCCCAGCACTTTGGGAGACCGAGGCGGGTGGATCACCTGAGGTCAGGAGTTCGAGACCAGCCTGGCCAACATGGTGAAACCAGCCTTTGGGAGACCGAGGCGGGTGGATCACCTGAGGTCAGGAGTTTCGAGACCAGCCCCCTGGCCAACAATGGTGAAACACCGTCTCTACTAAAAATACAAAAATTACCGGGCATGGTTGGCAGGCGCCTGTAATCCCAGTACTCAGAGTTGAGCGGGAGGAATCGCTTGAAGCCCAAGACGGCAGAGAGGTTGCAGTGAGCCAGATATGTGCCATGCCATTGCACTCCAGCCGGGTAACAGAGTGAGACTCCATCTCCAAAACAAACAAACAAAAAAGCCCACTTTTTCCTTGCCTTGAGGCAATGGATATTATAAGCTTATATGCTCAACATAAACTTAGCTGCTTAGCAAAGAAGCTCAGCCTCGGATTATTCATTCTAGGACAGCAGGCTGGAAAAGGGAGAGAGGTAGAGGGGCCTGAGGGAGCCAAGGTGATCAGGATAGCTCAAGGGCTTCCTCCGTCCTCTAACAGGCACAAGGACAGTAGCACAGGTACCCCTGGCTCTGGGCTTCCTATCCTGTTGAGGGACGATTGGACCCAGGGCCGGTGCGTCTGGGCTGCTGTGAGTGTGCAACCAGTGCAAGGGTTTTGGGTGGTGTGCAGATGCAGAGACAGTGCACTCTGACCCTCGAGATACTTGCCTCACAGAGGGCCTGGTGCTAGGAGAGCCGTGGAGGTAGGGGTTTCATGGGCTGCTAGGGGAGCCGTGAAGGTGGGGGGTTTCTTGGGCTGCTAGGGAGCCTGAGGTGGTGTTTCTC